AACTGCATGAATTTGCTGAGACTGGAAAGCTAAGACTCCTTTGAATTTATGAGCCCAAATCTGAATTCATGTGTGATGATGTGTTTGATGTTATAATTGCCATTTCATTATCATTTTTTAAAACTTCACCTCGCTGTATACAATGGGCTGTTGGAAGCTCTAGGTTAATCACAGGAAAGTTGACCACCACAAGCTAGGGACTGAGGACATTCAGATGATAAATAGCTTTTCCTAATAGAATGTCAATCAGCAGGTGTCTCAGTGTTCCCAGAGATAAAGTGCTCGTCATCCACTTCTGTCATTCTTCCAGCATAACACTTCTTGTTGAACACATCTGCTCAAATCATCAGTGTTTTAATCAGGATTTAAAATCAATTATGTGAAATTAATCTTCAGGTTTCCAGCTTCCAGATGTGATATTCCACTTCTGTGTGGCACATACTGTTGACCTGCTTTCTCCTCCTCAACATCCCCTCCCTCCACTAAAAAGACATGTGGGTCTCCAAGGGTTAATAGTTTTACTTTTATGAAAGACCTTCTACAACAGCTTACAACCTTTTTGTTAGAGAAAGTGTGAAAAAGGACCCATATCTAAGTGTTTTAAGGCCCCCAGATCAGTAAACCCTCTCCTAAGTATAGCTCAGGAGTGTCAACAGGAAGTCTCATTGTCCGTGATGTCTAATTTTGGAAAACGGACCCTGTATAGTAGACAAATGCTGTCATGGTTGATGGGTGTGTGGCAGGGGCGGCGGATACTGTAGGCTAGGGAAGGCTAAGCCTTCCCAAATATTTTTGTCACTGCATCCTGGTAAAATAAAAATATAATGTATCATTTTTGTGTCTTTGACATTAGTGCAGCTATGCAGCCACCAGTAAACTGTACTACGAAGCCAGTTCAACAGACCCTGGATATGTTTGAGTTATCTTAACTAATCCTAACAAACGAGATCTCGCTAAGCGGTCCTACGACGCCAGTTATCAACTCGGTAAATCAAGCCAGGGTTTCTCTCTCCAGCTGAGAGCGAGTTCACGTGACCAATCACAAACAGGGACAAGTGTATATAGCGCAGCGTCATACTTTATTAATGAAAAGTAAACTGATATTAGACAAATACAAACTTTAAACATCCATGACTTAAACATATATTCCAGGATACAAGCCACATAGTTGCACCTGCAAGGTGAATATAGAACAACTGGTTAAAAAATAACTACCGAGTGTTTGAAAGCGTACAACAGTTTTATGATATCACTGCCCCATCTAAGACACGAGTGGATCCAACCCAGTCTCGTAAAAAAACGTGTAATAACTACGTTGGTCCACAACGTAGGACGTAGTATTTCTACAAAAACGCCTCTGAAATTGTAAGATCTCAACGTTTTTTTTCACCATTCATTCCAATGGCTGGCGTCTATGTCACGTGATCTTCACATTTCTCCCTTCAGAAAAAAAAACATGGCCGAACTTCGTTTTATTCTCGGTGTAAAATGCCTATTTTAAAGTTAGTTTGGCCATTAAAATGCGTTTTCATGTCATTTGATGAGAGAGATATGAGTTGTTATTTCAGATTATGTGTGCAGTGGATGTACATGATCTTTAGTTTGCTAGTTATTACGAAGATTACTTCAGGAAATTGTGTCGATACAACGTTTTCATTGTTACCAAGGTGGTTGCTAACGACGCTGCTATTGATATTATTTATGTTATGTTGTGTAACAGTTTAATGGTGTAATCTTTATTGCTACCCCCTTCCCCGTCAATGTATAGTGTTGGTCCACAGCGCAAACATATTAGTTTAACAAAATCCGCATCTAAAATTGTGGCATAGATACGTTATTTTCCCCTGTGCAATTCCAGTCTCACATCTCACATCACATCGTCATAAACAAATACCGGAAACAGACCGAAAACACTTTATTCCGAGTATGCTTGCTTTTCTCTTTGAAAGTCATCACATAACGGCATTGTAATACACGGTTCGACTGCATTAAATATTACATATCTGCCGTAGTTCTCTATTTATAGAGCCCTGATGAGAAGACTTCTAGACAAACATGAGGAACTGCCGCCAACACTGAAAACGTGACGTGGATCATAAATATATCAGCCATTAAACAACATCTTACATTTCTTTTCACACAATACGTCTCCTTGCAGTATCAACACTAATTCGGCAGACTTTTATATTTGATCCAATTGGTAGATAGGCTGTATTTACACCATAAAGGTGCACAGCTGATATAAAGGGACACCTAGTGGTTAAAGCATGTTATTGAATTTCATTATTTGTATTATTAGATATGAATAGGATCCCTATAAAGTATATTTATTACTCGTTATTCTCTACTAATAGTTAATTAAAGACTGTATATAATGACTATTTTGCACATCCCTTTCAAGATTTCAAGATTTTCTAAGGTGTATTGACATATTATACACAAACGGTGTAGTTATGCATTGAATGAAAAACTGTGTGTATACCTCCAGCAATGTTAACTATGTTGAAGCACTTATTTTAACTGATATTATACATATGTATTATACTCTTATATAAGATGTATGTAGATAGTATAAGAAATGTGCAGAATACGACAGTTTAATGGTGGAGGTACACACATATTGATAGATGTCTTGTAATGCACTGTTGAGGAACCTGCGACCAAAGTTTTTCATCTCCGGCCTTGTCAGGTATTGAACAATCAATAAATAAAGAACACAGAATTATTAAATATAAAACACAGAATTTGTGTGATTATACTAAATGATTTACAAATAAACACCACTGCATATTTACAACTGTTACACATGCTGATGTAACGCAAATGTTTCCAACTTGGGATCAATAAAGTATCTTATCTTAAGATGATCGATGGCTTCTGCCATATTTGCAAAATGTGCCTCCGAACCTTGACAAGTGCATGTTTCAGGCTTATCAATGAACAACAGGAGGGGTCACAGACCAGCTGTTAAATAAAGCTCTTCTGACCTTAGCTGGCATGTGGGTAATGCTACCCATTATGGGCACAAGCAATTTTCACCCATTTATTAATTATATGTTTTACATTTGAGTGTTTCCTATCCCCTAAACCTCCAGGGATGTACACAGTTTAATACTGGCCACTTCTTATTATGGGAAATACGAAAACGTCTTTTAAGACTACAACTCCTAGTAGAGACGTGCCATAGAACATGTTGCGAACATGGTTGCGAAACACAATAGCCAGCATGTGTAGTTCTGGGGACGGGGTGGACCCGTTCAAATCCAGTTTTGGACAGTCTGCCGTGGTTCCATCCCATTTCAAGTGCTGTTCGACGCTCGGCGTAACCCTCGGAGCACACTCTCCAATCACAGAGCTTGAGGACTATCATGGGGTTTGTCAAGCGAAGCGGAGAGAATACTTACTTCCGGGTGTAATATTCTCTAAAGCAAATGAGCTGCTCCGACCCTCGGTCCTGACGGACTCCAACTTGTGTTTATTAATCAAACAAATAAATAAAGACAAGGATAATTACGTGTTATTGTTGAGTAAATGGAGAATTGCACAGGGGAAAATAACGTATCTATGGCACAATTTTAGATGCGGATTTTGTTAAACTAATACGTTTGCGCTGTGGACACTATACACTATAACACTATACATTGACGAGGAAGGGGGTAGCAATAAAGATAACACCATTAAACAGTTACACAACATAACAGAAATAATATCGATAGCAGCATCCCTAGCAACCACCTTTGTGACAATGAAAACGTTGTATAGACACAATTTCCTGAAGTAATCTTCGTAATAACTAGCAAACTAAAGATCATGTGCACTGCACACATAATCTGAAATAACAACTCATATTTCTCGCATCAAATGACATCAAAACGCATTTTAATGGCCAAACTAACTTTAAAATAGGCATTTTACACCGAGAATAAAACGAAGTTCGGCCATGTTTTTTTTTTCTGCAGGGAGAAATGTCAAGATCACGTGACATTTGGAATGAATGGTGAAAAAAACGTAGGGATCTTACAATTTCAGAGGCGTTTTTGTAGAGATACTACGTCCTACGTTGTGGACCAACGTAGTTATTACACGTTTTTTTGTGAGACTGGGTTGGTGGATCTGACTTTAATTACATTTGAGTTGAGTGTTTCGTCAACTTAATGTGTTGCTTAAAATAATACTTCTGCATACAGTATGTGACAATATAAGTGTTGCACGGCCAGATACGGCTGGAGAAGCTGACTCAGATAAGGAAATATATGATAAATTATGATATTATATGATCGATGATCTGATTGAATGTGATATGAATGATAAGTGTGACACGTCGGCGTCTTCTCTGCATACGGCAGTTTAAACTGTATTTTCTTTATCCTGTAATATGACTTGAGAGATTTAAACTCCGCACACTGAGTTGATCTCCTTTCTATAGACGCCGGAGGCGGGCAGCGTCAGGTAAAAAAAGTTATTTAGCCTTCCCAAACCTGAGCCTCACGCGCCGCCTATGGTGTGTGGGTGTCTGAAGGAGAGTTACAGTCCACTACTGTCCAAATCAAGTTACTCTGTCACATGGTCATCAGGTTAGTGTGTTGAAATACTTTCTGGAAATAATTTAAAGAGGCCCTATTCTGCTTTCTGAGGTTCTCCCTTCCTTGTACTCTTCTATAGGTTTTAGTGCATGTAAATGGTCTGCAAAGGCTAAAATCCCTGTGTTCCCTCCAGAGTTAGTTTCTCTCCCATAGACTCCCACCCCGAAACCTGAATCTTTTGCCAAGTGTCTTGGGTTTTGGGGCGCCTAAGGCCAAATTTGTTGTAAAAACAATAATAATTCCTACAGTTACAATACTTTCCTCGCCCAAGTTACTGTGCTCTGAACTAAATATTATGCATGTGAAAATAAAAACATGACACCATAAAACAAATGATAATTTTATTTTGTGTCAAATGACAGTGACATCCTTTAAGGCTTTTCATTCACTCATTGGTCCCTCCTCTTCCTCCTGCAGGGGGACCAGGACTGCCAGAATGTGGAGGGGGACAGTGTTTGCAGCAGCAGCAGTGTTAACAGTGTTAACGTGGAGGACATGCCCCTGTGTCTGGCTGCCATTCAGAAGCTGGTTGAGTACATTAAGTTCAACTTCATGGACAGTGACACAGCTCCGACCCCCAGCCCCCCCTCCTGCAGGGAGGGGCTAGACATCGAGGTCCGGGCCGTGGCCTTCAGTAAAGATGAGTTTGACGGTGCTGAGTTTGGCCTCAGCTTTGGAAACATCCCTATTTTTGGGGACCCTGATGGAAGGAAGAAGGGGGGCCCGAGGAGGAGGAGGGACCAGGGCCCCATCATGGATGTGGGCTGCATCTGGGTGACAGAGGTGAGGAAGAGGAGCCCAGCCGCCCGCTGTGGGGGGATCAAGCTCAGAGACGAACTGCTGTCACTGAACGGGCAGCTGATGGTGGGAGTAGACGTCAGTGGAGCCAGGTAAGACTGCTGAAACCAAAACTGTAACCATGAACCACACTGAACAAACTGAAACGTTGACTTTAACTATTTTTTATTTGCATTGCAAACATGTGAAGGGAAGAGATGTTGCAATGATCAAGCACATTGTATTCTGTAAGCTCATAGCAAGAAGATGGTGAATTAAATGATGTGATAAATTCACTGTACCTCATCACAGCAACCCGACTGTCCAAAAAGAACAATAGCCGAGCAAAGCCAGAGATGTGCCTGCATGGTCTCACGGTTCATAGCATCATGCCAAGGCCTGCTCTGAAATACAACACGCAGCTGTTATATGAAATACACTCATTATTGAGTGCAAAGAGTAAAAATGGTAAAACCTTAGAAATCGACTACACTTGAGAAATGAAAGACACTCCAGCAGACATCTCAGTGTGTGGTTTGTCTTTGTCTTGTAGTTTTAAGGAAACATATGGAAATGTTCTGTTGGTATTGCACTAATTCACGGTGTAATGGTGATGAAAACAATCCTCATACTGAAGGCTGGCTCCTCTGCAGGTCCATTCATTCCAGTGGGAGCGCCCTCTCCTTTCTCCAGCCGCAGCAGAAACAGCTGACAGGCTGTTTTGTTAAATGAAGAACTGACTAAACTGAGAGAATTTTACTGGAAAACACATTTTAAAGGAATGCAGATTTTATGCAAGTAATTTTTATTGGTTGTTATAAATGTTTTGTCACTGCTACTGCATGCTGAGATCCACAGATGCTGCTTTGTACACAACCAGAGGATATATCAATAATAATCCACATTCAAACCATTTTAAGATACTGATTTTTATTTAAAGCCTCTCCCTCGTGTAGAAACCTGACTGGTTTAAGAAGAGTCCTTCATGGACTTAAGGTGCATTAGTTAAAGTCCTAAAGGTCAATGGTAATAATGTGGTTTGATACACACATCAGGTCTCAGAATACTGAGGACAGTATTACAAGCTAATGTTGTTTAAAGGGGACCTATCATGCAAAATGCACCTTTGTACGTCTGTTATACATGAAGATGTGTCCCCGGTGTGTCAGGGAACTCACCAAGTGTCAGAAAGCACAACCCTCTCTCTTTTCCTCCATACCCAAATCTCTAAAAACGGGGCTGCAACGGATCTGATACAGACTGATCCAGATTTGAAATATCTCTGACGTCAGAAACGAGGAGCTCCGCCTATATGGGCAACTCTCCACCTATCAGGGGGAGACAGCCACGGCCATTGCCGTTCGAAAGCGCTGGAGACGCTGTAGTACATATGCCAGGCCTGTAGGTGGCGCTGTAGTCTGCCACAAAAGCAGCGAAGAAGGCTTCTCAGAATCAGCCCTTGCAAAAACAGGGCTAAAAAAGAGCAAATAGAGTGAAATGAGGCATGGCTAAAATGCATGATCTGTTTGGTATTTTGAAAAAAAAACTTCGCAGACATGTTTTATATAGGTATGGCCCTAAAATATATTATTCAAATATAGCATGATAGGTCCACTTTAAATAAAGATGCCGGCCAATCATTTGTCTCTTTCCATCATTCCCTGAGCAACTATGATGTGATTGTATGCTGCTCACTGTAAACAGGCAAAATGAAGATGGTTGGTTACCTGGCTGAGGATATGGAGGTTTGCAGCTCTTCATCTAACAGTGCTGGGGTGTCACACTCAAATGTATTTACTACTCTGCTGTCAGGAAGTGTTTGTAGATTATTTTTACATGAGTGATTGCAGTCATTGTCAAGCTCACAGACAACCACATTGGATATCCTGTTAACATGTTATGATAAAAGTCAATTGAATGCTTTTAATGTAAAGCTGCAGCATTAGGAGATACCAGTTTTTTATGTATATTATGTATTTTGTCCATAGCACAGAAACATTTCTAAAATAGTTAAGAGAGAGTAGTTGACGTCATGTAGACGTCCTGTACAATAGGTATCACTCAGGTTCACACTGTCAAATGTTATGCAATATAAAACCTGTACAGAATGCCAGAAGAGATGACTGTGAGGATTATTTGATCCTGGATGTAATGACGGCATTATCCATGTTTATTTTCCACAGTTACCTGGCGGAGCAGTGCTGGAATGGAGGCTGTATCTACCTGATCATGCTGAGGCGAGTTAAGCGAAAGGCCCCCCCCCCTCCCTGTAATGGCAGCGTCAGTACTGTGAGCAGTGACAGTTGTGAGGACCAGAAGCAGGACAGGGGGGCCCCGGAGCCCCCTGAGGGCCCTGCCAACTGCAAACGCACACGCAAGTTTGGAGTCATATCGAGATCGTCCTTCAACAGGGGCAGCACGGACTCAGACCTGCAGAGCTGTTACAACGGCTCCTCGGCCCCCCCTGATGCAGGGCTCAGTCCTCCAGGAGAGGACTCAGGGTGCATCCCCCCCCACCACACACCCACAGAGGAAAGCCCTGACATCAGAAGTGTTCCTCAGCGGCTCCACAGAGGCACGGCCACGCTGCCGGCACGCTGTCACAGTCAGCTGTTAGAATACAAGATGGACTCCTTCAGCAGCGAGCCATCAGGCCAGGTAAGGGCTGGGGGGGCACTTTAAAATGTAATCCATTACAATAACTCGCTACATGTTAAAAACTGTAATCAGTAACCTAATCTGAGTGTCACAATGTAAAAGTAATATAGCCTGATTCATTTCTGTTACTTTTGTGTTACCTAAATATTAAATGCAATGCAAATCAAAAGTGTTAGAAGATAAATAACAATGAAATGTTTTTAATTAAGTGTATGTAACCTCAGAAAAGTAGAAACAAAAAATGTGAAACAGTAATAGTTTACAAATGCTGCTAAACTTAATACATGAATCGACTGCATTATTAAAGAAATGTATTTAAAGTAGCCATAAAGAATATTCATTCAGTATATATCTTTATTTTTAAATGTATTGTGACACTGTAATCCAGATAGTAATCTCAATTTGTTTTTAATGTAACAGTAATCTTATCACCTACTTTTAGAATGTATTTGTAACCGTATTGTTTGTGCAATTTCTGGCTCACCAACCTTAAATGTTAACACAGAGAGAGCTCAATAAAACACAAACACAGACATGGTTGGGATTAATTATTATTCAGTTGCGCAACAACAATAATAATCTTGGAGTACAACATCACCTGCCACTGCCTGCCTGCCTACCTACCTACCTACTAGGGATGTGCATCTCCATCACTGAGGCCGATGCGATGCGCATCTCGATACGTTGCCACGATACGATACATTAACGATACATTTGAAACACTAGGCGATACGATACGATACGATTCACCCCTGTTGCGATACAGTTCGATACGATTTGATTCAACATTATGCGATTCGGTGCGATACGATGCGATTCAACACGATGCAAAAATAATGATACTTCAATTTGGTACGACAGAGGATTTTTGTTTTATTCCTTATATGCAGCAAATCATACATTAACAAAAAAGTGCTTTACATATTTGGTACTGCACATCCCATCATGCCGTTTATTTTTTTACCTTTAAAAGCTCTCCAGAGTACAATTGTATAACACCTCACAGTTAAACAATGTAAGGATGCATTGCTCATGATTAACAATGTGCAAATAACAGCTACCATAGAGCAATGCCCATACAGCTGCCAGCCTGATGTGCTTAACACTCATTCATAGGCTAACTCACCAGTGAGCAGAAAGCGGTGGGTTCTATATGAACAATAAATAATACAAATAACCTTTCACAAACAGGTATTTCATAACTGCTTACAGTGAGGAATACATTTAAACTATTATTGGCCGTCACAGGCTGCTGTAAACTAAACACCACTCTCTCTGACAGAACACCTCACTGAGTGATTTAACTCATATGTCTAACTTTCAGGTTTCTCTTTTCAGCCGCAGACCCCATGTCGACTCTTTATGTGCGTCGCTAAGTTCCTCGTACTACTTTAAATCGGCTCGGCATCGTTAACAATTTGCGAGCGATTTTTCAAGTTGACCGTCTGTGCCGCGCACATATACCATCAGGACGTTACTGATGGGGTGCGGCTGCGGAGTGATACTGTGTGTATGCAAGCCCGCATCTAGGACGGATCTATGTATCATGGCTGTAGACCTATTAAGTAATAAAGATACCTCATACAAAAGTATACGGATACCTTATTACTCTCCATGACCTGCGGTCAACTATATAGCCTAGCATAAAGGACTATTACACCGTCTTTCTTGAACAATCCGAAGTGTTACCAAACGTTTGATTTGTAGGTATTTTTCGGTGCGCTGTGTTTCTCTTTCTCCTCGACTTCCGTGTGTGTTGATAACTGAGACTCTCGGCCTCCGTAGTGGCGAAGCAAATATCAAAGATCGTCTCTGCTGAGCGTTGACAAGATTAGGGGATTTTATATGAATGAATCGGTTTTTTACCGATGCAAAGACGCTACGCAATCGATGCATCGCGAGTTCAACCCGGTTCAACCCAAACTGTAGCCGATGTGCACTCTTTCAACCGGTGCACTCGCATCTTGAACGTTTATGCCGGTGCACCAATGCGAATCGGTGAATCTTAACATCTCTACTACCTACCTACCTACCTACCTACCTACCTACCTACCTACCTACCTACCTACCTACCTACCTACCTACCTACCTACCTACCTACCTACCTACCTACCTACCTACCTACCTACCTACCTAAATACATAAAGTCACTCACCTTAGAGCACTGTGTGATGAGATAATTAGCTCTAAAGCTGAACATTTGACATCCCATTTTTTTTAAATCTTCAAAACTCTTGTGAAAACACAGACTTACTCATGGTCAATGCAGAGACGGTTTTGATGTAAGAATACATATTTATTGCCAGGAATACACAAATTAATGTAATGGAGTTTTGGCGATTAGGCCCCGTTGTGCAGGAGTATCATTCGGGAGGGGATAACCGATGAAACCCCCCAAGGTCTAGACCCTGGTGGTGGTGAATGGATAGTTGGGTTCGGTCTGAAGGGGAGGGGCTTAGCTTGACGGCTTGACTTGATGGTGTAGTCCAAATGATAGCTGGGGATTCTGGGTAGTGTAGTGTCTTCTGCCATCCTTTACTCCGAAAAAATATTTGTTTCTCCGAATCGAAGGGGAAAAATACAAAACCATTGCACACAATTTAAACCAATCAATGTTGTGTAATTAACAAGGATAATCTGGTGTTTTTTAGTCGATGAGTAGTGCAGATATCACTGTAAAATCAATCAACAGTAAGGGGAATACTTACTTCCGGGTGTACAATTCTCCGTTATCCAATGGGAATGGACGCTCACATTGCCTTTAAGGGCAGCCGACACAAACGAATGCCGTGCTTCCATGAGCGTCAAATCCCGCCGCAGATGGGAATACATTGCAATCAGTTGAAAGCTATTTGCGTCCCTTTATGACGCTGAAGGAGCCTAGGAGCGTCACAACTGGACGCCACGGACACTGACCAAACGTCGCTCCTGGACACTTAGGGAGTGAGAGTGTGTTGTGCAGGGCTGCTGGTGGCTGTGTTGGAGGGAGGTACGTTTGATTGTCCCGGGTTGATGCTGGTGGCTGTGTGGGGTACGTGTGCTCTATGAGACCTCCTTGCTGGCTGGGTTGATGGTGATGGCTGTGGTGGAGCCTTTGTGCCGAGGTGTATCTTGACCTGGTGGCAGCCAAAGATGGAGGTGGAGGCAGCTGTAGTGATGCTGGTCTGCTGGTCCTTGGTGGTGATGGCTCTGGTGAAGGCCATTGAGCCACAGTGTATCTTGACCTGGTGGCAGGCACAGCTGGAGGTTCTGGTTCCTGGATATACGCCGCCTGTGGGCCACTAGGCCCAGGCAGATGTGAAACCTCTCTGTAAAACAAATTAAAATGTAGAACAGTAATTACTACTAGTGAAATTGAAATAAAGTTCAAGTGGCATGTTGCCTAAGCACAAATAACAATGCACAACTAAAAAGAAAGTTTGGGAGGTGGGGCAGGAGTCTCTCTCTCCCCCCCCCCCCCCCCCCACACACACCACACACACACACACACACACACACCACACACACACACACACACACACACACACACAGGTATTTCCAGTTACTTTACATTCAGTATAAAATCACAGACAGATATAAATAAATCTATAACAAAATCCCCTCTGTACAAAACAGTATGATAAAATACATGTCTATAGTCACTGTAAATGTCTCCGTTGTGGGATGAATAAAGGATTGTTTTTTCATCTACACATGTAACCTTACTTTTACACATCAACATAACTTTTACACATAAAAAACTTTACACAGAGTAAAAGTTTACTATATGAGAGTCTATTTGGTCCCAAGAAAAAGTTCAATGTTTGTTTGTTTATTTAACCAGGTGAGAATCCCATTGAGATCAACAATCTCTTTTTCAAGGGAGACCTGCAGCACATTGGTTACACATAAAAACAACAGAAAACAAAAAGGACATCATACAACATAATTACAGGGGTATAAATTAGCAACCTATTCACAATGACAGATATCTAATAACATTTCATCTATCCGAGCTTTAAAATGATGCAAGGGAACCAAAATGCAGTTTCAATTTGTTTTGCATAGTGTTCCAAGCTAGAGGAGCAGCACACATAAAAGCGTTAGTACCTAAAACAGTCCTAGCACTTGGCACATGTAATAAAAACACATCCTGGGATCTCAGGCAATAGCTAGTTGCCACTCTCTGTGAGATCAAAGAGCAAATATAAGTTGGTAGTTTACCCAACATGGCTTTATATAAACCTATATTATATATATTATTTTCGCGGTATTCCACTCAAAGTGAAAGTACACTATTACTGTCATATTTACACTTACCCATGTCCAAATGGATAATTGTTGTCCCTGTATTCTTCTTCTTCTTCAGAAGAGTCGAAGCCTTCTGGTTCTGATGCTCCATTTTCACGAGTGCTAGCGAAA